TTGACAACCCATTTAGGGTCTTGTTCCTACTAGTAACAGGTGCCACGTTAGTAGTAACAGGTGCCTTACTGGTAGTAACAAGAAGCTATTAGAATTAAAATTAAAGTAAAAATAAACTAATAGCTTCTTGTTACTACCAGTAAGGCACTTGTTACTAGAAGCGATGCACTTGTTTCTAGTAGCATCCTTGCTCCTAGTAGTAAGGGTCTTGGACTCAGCTCCTCTCGAGAGGAGCAGCTCACGGAGCAGCAGCCGGTCTTCTCGAAGGCCCGGATGACGATCCGTCAGTGGAGCGTCCGGCGGAATGAGAAGATCGCCTGCCACGTGACCGTGCGGGGAGAGAAAGCCGAGGACGGGGACGGGGACGTTTGGGGCGCGCTGAAGCGCCATGTGCTCTCATTTCCACCGTGGTTGGATGCCATCGCTAGTAGAGTGAACTGCCTGAGACGCCTTGAGAGGCAATTGTTTAAGGTGAGAGTGCGAGTCAAGGGAAGATGCGCGTCAAGAATAGTCGAGCAAGATCGATTGACGTTAAATTAGATACTGTATCATGAGAGGTCAGTGAGCGTATGCCCATGAGTGGTGAATTGAGAGAAGCGTTTAATCTACTGGCCGTGCTTTGGATGCCAGCTAGTGTGCAATCAAAAGGAGGTTTGGTTTTTCTACCAGTAGCCCTCATCCTCCTCATCTCCACACACGCTCCTGCACTCCTCGTGTCATAGTTTCGTGGAGATCCCAATCACGGGTCCAGAAGATATGCGCACAGCATGTCCGTTGTACACAGCTGCCAAGCCAAACTGCGGAGGAAATCTTGGAGAAAGGCCTGAAAGTCAAGGAGTATGAGCTTCGAAAAAAGAACTTCGCCCGCAACGGCAGCTTTGGCTTTGGCATCACTGTGCCCCAGCTCCATGGAATGAGGGTTTGAGAATGCCGTGATGATGTGTGACAGTGTCGTGCAGGCTCAGAATGGCTTCTTGAATAGCTTCTTGTTACTACTAGTAAGGCACTTGTTGCTAGTAGCGATGCACTTGTTTCTAGTAGCTATCCCCGATGGCCTCCAACCCAATAGCGATGGCCTCCAACTGCTTGCTCACCAAAACATAGATTTTGAAAAGTTTGAACATGGCGCCCTCATGAGGAGCACATTGATTTGGGCATCAAGTACGATCCTGGCACTGGCATTTACGGCATGGACTTCTACGTGCACCTCTCTCGCCCTGGCAGCCGTGTGAAGAATCGAAAGTTGAAAGTGGGCAAGGTGAGGTGTGTAGAAAGTAGGAACAAGTGCTACTAGCAACAGGTGCCTCGCTACTAGTAACAGGTGCCTTACTAGTAACTATAGTAGTAACAAGAAGCTAGTAGTAACAAGAAGCCATTCTGAGAGGATACGAAAGGTCTTGGAGTCTAGAGAAAAGTCACGATACAAAGACATAAAAGAAAGAGGAGAAGGCAAGAAACGTAAAGTAGCTCCATCTACATCTCTCTTTGGTCTCTATTGTAGGAGCCATGTTTGGCCAAAGCTTGCAATTGTCATTATGCCAGGTGGGCGCGTCCCACAAGCTGAAGAAGGAGGATGGCATGAAGTGGTTCCAGACCAAGTACGACGGCATCCTGCTCAACTAACCTCAGATCCTGCGTTGTGCAAAAAAGCTGCGGCCCTGTCTGCGAAGAATCAGGTCCTGGTTTCAAAAACCGGCCGCTTCCCTGTCAACTCGTGCCACAACATGCGGCAACACTTGTATAGATGTTTTGGGACTGCCCCCCCTACGAGTGAACGAATCTTGAACACTAGCTATTTCCAATTTGCACCCTCTTGCTGCCCCCGCTTGCACTATGTCTCCGCATGTTTGGTGTTTGTGTGGTGTGTGCAGGCTTGCTCCCGACTGAGGATCGTTTTGTTCTAATGACAGCGGAAGTAACGCAACCCGAAGTCAACTGAGGTTCACAAAGCTCAGGCGTGGGTCACATTTGTTGAGATCTCGGACAACTTAAAAGCCACTTGTCAATGAGACAGTGGCACCATTTAAGTGTAAAAAGTAAACGAGGGCTTGTTTGGGGACAGGCTGAGAAGAAGAGAAATTCTCATGCTTTCTCCTTGTCTCTTTGTTCATTGTCACGCGCAGGGTTTTCGGCCTTGTCGAGTATGAAAAGGTCTTGTTGATGGATGCTGACCTCCTTGCGTCTTGGCAGCCTTCGGTCACGTGACATGGGCCGACATGTTCAGCCTAGTGGCTTAGTTATATACATGTAGCGTGCCTAGTTATATACATGCCCTAGTAGCGTCCTTGCTCCTAGTAGCGATGCCAGGAGCCCCTAGT